AAATAAAAAAAATTTTGAATTAATATATTATTACTTTATATAGACGATAAGAAGTGAAATTTCCCTCTTGACATTGGAATATATTCTTGTTATAATTTGTATACACTCTTCTTTTGGTGCTCTTGCAATTTCGTGATAATATTACGAAACGAGGTTGAATTATTTTTCGACTTTTTAAATTGTGATCCAGGGAGAAAGTTGTTGGTACCGTTTTATAGTCACCACGGTTATCACACATACACACATATGTGAGTGCATTATTTGAACAAAATAAAACATGATTTTTTTTCTTTGTTTACACTCTTTAAAAAGAAAGTTTTAATTGAGTAAGTTAAAGTTTTGTTGAACTCAAAATGAAATAGTAAATTTTTTATTTTTATAAATAAATATACTTTTCTTATATATAAAGAGGTAATAACCCTATTAATTAATTTTTTTTATTTTGTTGTTATTTTCTATTATTTTAATCAGCTGTTAAGGAGGTTCAACCCATTAACATAACCTAAAACTAAAAAGTAGTTTTTAACAAATCTAAAATTATATTTAAAATTTATTACATCTAAATTCGACAAATTCAATTGTACAATTTTGGAAAAAAATTATTTTTAGTTAAAATTTGTTGTTAAATAATAATAAATAAACATTTTGTATTTTTTCTTAAAAGTTAGTGAACAATTTTAATTTTTATCCAATTTTTATAAACAATATGGCTCATATTTTTCTCTTTGAAAGATACTCTACAATTCTGATTTTGTGTTTTTGTTAAATAACACAGGCCTACAAAATTTTGAATTGTGTCAGACCCAGAAACCGGAATAGTCATTTCCGATGTATTTTGTCACGCTGAATCCAAAAATGACAACGAAATTGTTCCATCACGTCAGCGTTTTGAGATATTCTAATCTGAAAGCGTGAAAAATGCCGTTTTTGGCAATATTAGACACTCTATAAAATCTTCAAAAAAATTTTTTAATCATTGGACCAAATTTTAATTAAAAGTACTATATTTCCTCTGTTAAAATTTTTTAGGCTCGATACAATCCGATTTTTTTTCTCTAAGATACAGCCATTTGAATTTTACATATTGCATGAACTAAAATCCCTTTAAAAACGAAAAATAAATTGCAAAGTACTTATAGCACTGAAACTTGTTACTTACAATTAGGGGTTTTTGGGGTCGCTGATTACGAATCAGATTTTGAAAATCTGACATTGGATTTGTATCAGTGACCCCAAAGACCCCCGAGTAATAAGCTTCAGGCAAATCTAGTGAATTTTCTAAAAAAAAGTCCGCCATGTTAGATTTCGAAAATCTGACATCGGATTCGTAATCAGCGACCCCAAAAACCCCCAAGTAACAAGTTTCAGTGCTATAAGTATACTTTGCAATTTATTTTTCGTTTTTAAAGGGATTTTAGTTCATGACAAAATGTAAAATTCAAATGGCTGTATCTTAGAGAAAAAAAATCGGATCGTATCGGACCTAAAAAATTTTGACAGAGGAAATATAGTAGGGTCAACCGGGGTAAATCCGAACGCTTTTAGTAAGTTTCAACAATAACATAAGTTTTTTCTTTAAAAAAAAATACTTCCGGTATTCTGGTGCATGAAGTTGTTACTTTACTTCCATAGAACAATTTTATGGGGTAGCAAAAATGTTTGATAAATTACAATCGCAGGAAACTTAGCGTTCGTATTTACCTCGATACTTTGCAACTTTCCTAAAATACCGGGGTAAATACGAACGCCACTGTATTTCAGAAAAATCTTAGGGAAAATATAAAATAAATTTAAAGTATTGCAATTGTTAAACTTATATAAAAACTCAAAAAAAATACGATAATAAACCTATTATGTAATAATGCATCATATATAAATACAAAAATCAAACAGGTTAAAAATTAAAATGCATTACACAATTAAAACCTTCAATAACTTTATCAAATCATAACGGATTTTTGCAAAACTTGGTACAGAAAGTATTTTGGAGTGATTGAATGTAAATACAAAAATAAAAGTCAAATTTTTTAAATTCAAAATGGCGTACGTTCCTAAAACTTATTTTTAAAAATGATCAAATTTGCTAACCCTGAAACCCCCCGAGTAACAATTTTCGAGCGAATCCAATGAATTTTTTAATTCTCGTCCGCCATTTTGAATTTTGAAAAATTGACTTCAAATTGGTAATTAGCGACCCCAAAAACCGTAGAATACCAAATTTTATTAAGATCCTGAAAAAATTTTTTCAACAAACCATTTGGCAAAAAAATTGAAACACGAGAGAACAGAGATTAAGTTTCTGCTTATTAATTACTAACGAGGATACGTATAGAAAGAAAAACTTTTTTCTATGTACTTTTATAATGTTAAAATAATAGTGTAATGAAATAAAAACAATTTTGTGTGGCTCTGATGTAAAAAAAAATTGTTGAAAATACCGTTCGGATTTACCCCGGTTTTCCAATTTTCCTGGGTAAATACGAACGGTCTGATATTATTAATAAAATTTTACAGAAGGCAAAAATGAAAAATAGTTTCTGTTCTAGTATATTCATAACAAACAATTATAAATAATAAAATAAATTTTTAGCTTCTTTTTCTTCAAATACGAGACAAAATACTGAAAGAGTGTCATCTTTGATTTTCAATCTTTTTTGCAATACTCGTTATCTTTGTTTACTCTCTAAATCTGAATAAGTGAAATTTCACTTAAAATGTGTCAAAAGTCTTCCACGTAGAAAAATAAGTGTATATGCACTTTTAAATAAGTGGTTTTCACTCAAAAATAAGTGAAGTTTCACTTATTTTTAAGTGCATATACACTTATTTTTCTACGTGGAAGACTTTTGACCGTTGCAGTACAGAAGGTCCAAAATAAAAGGTCCAAGACCGATTATCCAATCCGAAAGGTCCTTTTGACACATTTTAAGTGAAATTTCACTTATTCAGATTTAGAGAGTATGCTGTTGCTAATTAACAAACGAAAAATGGGATAATACTTAGAATCTCTTGAAGAGGATCTGAGGAAAAATTCTCATGTCTAACTTATTTTTTAAAATTTTAATTAGGCTGAAATAATTAGCGTTCGGATTTACCCCCCGTTCGGATTTACCCCGGCTGACCCTACTTTTAATTAAAATTTGGTCCAATGATTAAAAATTTTTTTTGAAGATTTTATAGAGTGTCTAATATTGCCAAAAACGGCATTTTTCACGCTTTCAGATTAGAATATCTCAAAACGCTGAAGTGATGGAACAATTTCGTTGTCATTTTTGGATTCAGCGTGACAAAATACATCGGAAATGAATATTTCGGTTTCTGAGTCTAAAATTTGTAGACCTGTGTAATGGTTTGTTTAAAAAATATAAAAAATAAAAATTTTATTTGTTTATTAACTTTTGAACAAAATACTTTTAATAAAATTCAACAAACTGAATTGTAGAGAATCTTTCAAAGAGAAAAATGAGCCATTGTTTATAAAAATTGGATAAAAATTACAATTGTTGACTATAACTTTTAAGAAAAAGTACAAAAAGTTTATTAATTATTATTTATCAACAAATTTTAACTCAAAATAATTTTTTTCCAAAATTGCATCTGTCGAATTTGGGTGTAATAAATTTTAAATATATTTTTAGTTCTGTTAAAAACTACTTATTAGTTTGAGGTTATGTTAATGAGTTGAACTTCCTTAAGGCTGCGCGCGACGATTTCTTATTTTTCAGCCAAACGTGAGCCAAACCAGTATGATAAACATAACCTCTACCTCAATTTTTAGAATTCTGTTGGTATCACTGATTGTTATATGATAAACGCCGCTCGCAGGCATAACAGCAAATTAAAAGTAAACAAAACAAAAAATTTGTCATAAAATGTTATTTTAGAGAAAATAATACTTTTATTTCAAAGAAATAAATATTTATTTAGGTTGGAAACTTTTTTTTTTTACTCTGGAATGAAATAATTCTATGTAGTTAAAATTGAAATTAAAGTAAATTGTGATAATAAGGAAGTAAGAAATCATAAAAAAAAAAAAATTTTTTTTTTGATTATTCTTTGTCAAGACTTGTGATATCAAAAAAATGATTGTTAGTTTTTTTTTTATATTTTACAATTATTGTTAGCCTTGTTTTTTCATATTACTACTTCCCAAGCGATCATGCGGATGAACATCCTGATGTGCATGAATGCATGACCACATTTAGCCGAGCTGAAAAAATAGAGATTGTAATCATTATAAGGTTTTGATTCTGTATTTTTTAAATACAGTTATAATTCTCACCGTAAAAAATGGTTAATAATAAAGTATAGTTCTCTCTCATTTTTTTCTTATATGCCAATGATATAAATCATCATCTAATTCACATATATATATATTCAATTATATTATTATAATATAGTTATATAGTTTGTCCCATATCTTTAATAATAAAAATAAAATAAAGAATAATGTGTAATATTTTCACACGTGCTTATAATTAAGAGAAAAAAACTTTTTATCTTTTAATCATTTTATCTTTATAAAAGTTCGATAATATGATAAATCCATAATTATTTTTCCCCTCTTATATATTTATTACACCGCGCGATATCAATAAATTATCTAAATTGAATGTAAATTTATTTATTTCATTTTTCTATTTGGAAAATAGAGAAATTATTGACAAAATTCAATTAATTTATATATGGCATTTTTTATAATTTAGATAATTAAGAGAGTTTCTAGTGCTAAATAAATATTTCAAGTTGCATTTAAATTTTTTTAATATTTTTCAAATGTTAAAACAATTTCCCATTAATAAATTAATGCAACATTTTTTTTTCTTTTTACTCCTAACGTTTTTTTAGCTTTCTTAAAAAAAAAAAAATTCAGCCTTAATAAAAATTAATATATAAATGTTAGGTTTATAAATAAATTTAATTTTTAGTTTATAAATAAATTTTTATTTATAAATATTTTTCTACTTATACATAAATTTTAATATATTAAATTAAATGAAGTTCAATTTGCTAAATAAACATTTTTTTTTTCTAATATTCGTAGAATTTAATATTAATAAAGAACTAAGGCAATAATGAGGCAGTTTTATTTAAACAGTCTTATATTTTCAAAGGAAAAAAATAATTGAAAATTTTAAAAAATTTCCAATTTTTTCTATGAATTATATATATATATATATATATATATATATATATATATATAATATTTATTGATGATTAAGACTGATGACTAGCAACCGTAGCACACGTGAAACATTGTTTGATCAATGTATTACCTTAATACTATTTTTAAAATATTCACATCAGTTTTATCAAGCATTTAACTTTATATAAATTAAAAATTTTTGATTAAATTTTTTCATTTATAAAAAAAGAAATTTGCAAAAAAAAAATTGTTTTAAATTCAAGAAAATTAAAAAATTTGATTCAATTTTTTCATTTCTAAATAACAAAATTGCAAAAAAAAAAAAAGAAATTGTGAAAATATTTTTTTTATTTTCAAAACCTAATATAATAATACTGTAACACTAACATCGTGTTGAATTAGCATTTTTACAAATTGTCCTAACATTCGTATGACATTTGCCATTTGCGTCTAAAATAATTTTCGTCACTATCACTGTTGTTGATGATTGATCGTTGATGATTTTTTTCTCATTATTCATTTTACATCTTCTCTCCTCACGTCTCTCATTGGATTGATTTTCATTTTCAAAAATGCAATTTGTTTTTCTATTTTTTTCCTCATTTTGCAAAATATTTTGTTGATAAATTTTTGCCCGTGAATCATCATTATCATTATCAATCACACGTCGACTTCTATTTGATTTGAGTGATTTCTCATTGAGATATTTCACGTGGCTTCCATGTCCAATAAACGTGACTTTATCCTCACTTGAATTTGGACCGAGATCAACACGACCACCATCACCTTTATATTCAATGGTGCCAATATTTTCAATCACCTTCAATTGACAACCATCGCCAATAATACGAATTTTGCCAAAATTTCTTCCAATTGTTATTCGACATCCATCACCTTTAATTTCCAATAACTTTTTATTGCAATCCTTCCTCAAACGTAGACCATCTCCGGATATGATTTCCATGTCCTTTTCACTTTTCGTCATTTTTACTTCGTCTTTTAGATTTTTTTTTTTACACAAATATCTCTTCTGAAAATATATATATATATATTTGAAAGTTATTTTATTCGTTAAATTTTTGTCATTTTATTTTTTATACAGGTGTGTGAAATAATTTTTCTTTTAATTGAAAATATTATTGTAAAATAAATATTTTCATTAAAAATAAGATAAATTTTTTGTCTTTTCAAAATTGGATTTTTGAAAATATCTTTTAATTTGTCCTTTTTTATTTCCGAAGTAAAGAATTTTAATTTTTTCGCTTTTAGAAAACTTGAATTAAACACAAAACGTTTTGAATAATCCGCAGTAATGTTGTAATCCACTCGCGAAATTCAATGTCAGCACTCTCAAGTTTCGAGTTGTTCCACCACTTGGAAGAAGAAAGGTTTTTGTTCTTTTTTTTAATAAAAGCACACTTGACACTGAGATTTTCAAAGGTTTACTTCTTTGTGAAAATTTTTATTTTATTTTTTTTTTTTTTGAAGAAATTGCACTAAAATGGTGACTTGACTGGTTCACTCATCGTTGAACAGTCGTGGTTATTGTATAAATGAATCGTGTTTATAATCGCCTTACTGACGCGATATATTCTCGCATTTAACATTGAGTATCTTCCAATCGGCAATTCTTTACAGTGAGGTTCTTCCCCTCACAGCTATTAGCCGCGGCGTATCTGCAATAAACATGTGACGTGACACTGACGCGTCCGGTTACTTTATAAAGTTATACACATGTATTTACAATACACACAGTCATGCTGCAATGTTTCATTCAAACTTTTGCTTCTTCACAATTCATATAGTGTTAGAAACTGATAATATATATATTTAAATATTAAAAATTTACTATAGGGTCAGAATTTTTCAAATGAATCATCTAAAATTCACAAATTTAATTTTAAATTAAACAATTTTAATCAATTCTTTTAATTAATTCGGAACGCATGATTACACCGTTCGACAAAATTCAACTTCTTTTTTTAACCCACAAAAAAATCCAACATTTTTGGAAACTAGGACCAAAAAAAAAATGACCGTTTTGCTAGATCAATAAGTCATTTGTGGTTTTTAGAGGTGAAAACAGCCCCTAAATAAAAAGTGACAAGATATCTTTTAAAAATTACAGTAAAACCCCGTTTATCCGAGGTCTTGATTATCCGAGGTGGTGTCCCAGTAGGAAATTCTGTATTATCTGAGTCTAGTCTACTTCATCCGAGTTATTTTTAATTTTAGTTTTTTATAAATATGAGTTTATTTTTAATAAATTCAAATTGTTTAAATTATTATGAAATATATACAATATTATTGTCCCGTTTGTAATAAATAATAATTGTTTAAACAATAATAATGTTAAATTGTAATAACAATTCGGATTATCCGAGTTTTCGCCTTATCCGAGGTATACTCTCTAAATCTGAATTAGTTAAAAATAACTAATTAATAGTAGAATCTTACTAATTCAAAAAGCAAAAAGTGAGTCACTAATAATTAGTAAAAACTTACTAATTCAAATAGTTATTTTGGTTTAACTAATTCAATTAGTAACTTTTTAATGCGGCTCCCGGGGGCGCAAATTACTAATTGATTAGTTAAAACTACTAATTGTTTACTAATTCATTAGTCATTATACAATTTTACCGCCAAATCGTAAATAATCAATAAAAAGTTATCAACTTATTCATACTAAAATTTTCAATTTGAAAAGTCGAGTTTCAAAGGTAAAATTTTTCGCATGTAGTTTCTTCATGATTGTATAAAAAATATTTTATTTTTAAAAGTCAGTTTTCATGGGTTAAATTGCATAATATTGGCAAAATTCATATAAAATTTTTTACGTTCTGGTGGTTCATTTGATATATTATTTCCGATTTTTTTTGAGTAAAGATTTTATTAAAATTTTCACTTTATAGTAATTTATTAATTTACTTAAAGACAGTTTAGATACACATACATAGTTATTTTTGGTGAAATAAAATTAATAAAAAAATTTTAACGGTTAGTTTATATCAAAAAATTTTTTGAAAAATAAATAATTTCAAAAGTAATATTTAAAGCACCAAACAAAATATTTTGAACATAGTACAAGCTATAGTATCACATAATACTTCAAAAAAACAGGACAATAATTTAAAAATAATAAATGCTTTCAAAAGTAGTATTTTAAGCATCAAACAAAGTATTTTGAATAGAGTACAAGCTATAGTTTCACATAATACTAAAAAAACAAAAAAATATTTAAAAAAAAACCCATGGAAGATGACATACGTCATAAAAATAATAGAGGTTACGTTCAACTGACTAATTCAATTAGTAACTCGGGTGTAATAACTAATAGAATTAGTTAATTTGATTACTATTTTAAATTAGTAATGTTCAAATACTAATTTTTTACTATTTTATTAGTAAAACTTCCAAAAATAACTAATTCATTAGTTGAAATTTAATTTACTAAATGAATTAGTTAATTTTTTACTAATTCAGATTTAGAGAGTAGGTCTGGTCCACATTAGCTCGGATAACCGGAGTCCTACTGTATTAATATTTTATAAAACTTGGTATCTGGGGGTTTTCGGGGTCGCTGATTATTAATCTGATGTCAGATTTTCAAAATTCAAAATGGCGGATTCAATATGGCGGTCAAAATTTTAAAAAGTTATTAATTTTTTTTAAACCTTGGTAACTAGGGGTTTTTTTGGGTCGTTGATGACGAATCTGATGTTAAATTGTCAAAATTCAAAATGGCGGATATAAAATAAAAAATTAATAACTTTTTAAAAATTTGATCGCCATATTGGATCCGCCATTTTGAATTTTGAAAATCTTACATCAGATTAATAATCAGTGACCTCGAAAACCCCACAGATACCAAGTTTTATAAAATATTAATAATTTTTAACAGATATCTTTTGTCACTTTTCATTTAGTCCTAGTTTCCGAAAATGTTAAATTTTTTGTGGGTCAAAAATTGTGTCGCACGGTTTTATGTTCTAAAAATCATTAGTTAGAATTTTAATTATATGGAATTTCATTTGTCATAATTATTTTTGAGCCGAATTTTTATTTGTTCGAATTAGTCTTTTGTAGAATTTTCATCAAAACAATTTTCTATAAATTACAGAATTTTATTAATTATTTATTTATTATTTTTGAAGAATTTTTAGTGGATAGAATTTCACTGCATACTCTCTAAATCTGAATTAGTAAAAATGTTTACTAATTTGAATTAGTGACTCACTTTTTGTTTCTGAATTAGTAAAATTTTACTTATTGTTAGTAAAAGTTACTAATAATTAGTAAAATTTTACTAATTCAGAAGCAAAATGTGAGTCACTAATTCAAATTAGTAAACATTTTTACTAATTCAGATTTAGAGAGTAGAATTTTCTTTCAGATGAATTTTCATTTCTTCGAATTATTATTTTTGATATAATTTCCATATAACCGATTTTTTACACTACAGAATTGTTATTTAACCGAAAAATCATTTAACGGAATTTCTAATTGATATTTTTCCGAAATTGCAAATGACCGAAAAAACAATCGACAGAAATATTTCGGCGCAATTTTTAAAATCAACCAATCAAAAATTATCCATAAAATTGTGATTGGCTGAGTTTAAAAATCGCGCTGAAATCTTACTGTAGATTGTTTGTTCGGCCATTTGCAATTTCGGTCAAATGAAAATTCTATCAATTGTAGAAATTCTGTTAAATGATTTTTTAGTTAAGTAAAAATTCTGCGATATGAAAAATCGGTTATATGGAAATTATATAAAATAATAATTCGAACAAATGAAAATTCTATGCAATAAAATTCTACCCAATAAAAATTTTTTAAAACGCCTATTATGTTAATTAAAAATTCGAGCAAATAAAAATTCGAACAATAATAAAAATTTTGTGAAGTGAATTTTCGGTTATATAAAAATTGTCTAATATAGTAAATCGATTTGATGAAAATTCTTCAAAATACTAATTCGAACAAATAAAAATTTGACTCAAAAATAATGATGACAAATGACTTATAATACTTTATAATATATAAAAAATAAAAATTTATAATATATTTTAATTCATCTCAAGTGCGAAAACCAAAACGGCCCAATACTGGCCCAGTATTGGCAAAACAAGCAACGCGAGCCTTGGCAGAAAATATTGGGCCGATTCTTGTGGTGATATTGGCGCAGTAATGTGACGGAGTTCGACCCAATAATGGCGAATTGGAGTAACTGAGAATCGGTGCCAATATTGGCACAGTAATGGGACAGAGTTCGGCCAAATTATGGCAAATCAAAATTACCAAGTATTGGTGCCAATATTGGCTCAGTAATGGGACAGAGTTCGGCCCAATTCGGCAAATTAGAGTAACCGAGAATCGGTGCCAATATTGGCCCAATAATGAGATGAATTGATCGCCAGTACTGGTCCAGTAATGTTTGCCGTACTTCTCCAGACATTACAAATGATATACAAATATATATACAAATAAACTCAATTTTTTTCCAACCATAAAATAATTTCATCACATCTTTTGTTTTTTTTTTTTATTAAAAATTCTATTTATTCTATCAATGGATAAATCCCGTGTGTAATAATGCAATAATTGAATATTAAAAAAAAAATTTATATTCTTTCAAACAAATGAATCAAGGCTAATAATAATATTATATTAATCAAAGACTATTGAATTGGTAACATACTGAAGATTAATTTTAAAAACCTCTTAATTATTACCCAACATATCGAGAAAGAGAAAATTAAATCTTTTTTGTAATCACAAAAAAAAATTGGTTCATTCTATTTTTCATTTCAGCTTTACAATTCCGTTTTAAAAAAAAAGTGAATAAAAATGTAAATATTTATTTTGTAATATTTTTTTATTATAAAAAAACAATGAAAATTTCATTTCACATAATTCAATATTTTAATAATACTATAAAGGTCTAGTGTACCCATATATTCTATAATAGATAAACTAACCGGTCTTTAAAAAAATTTTCCTTGAAATTGTTTTTTTTTTTTTATAATAATTTAATGAAAAAAAAGAGAACGTGTGAAAAACAATTTTCAGGAAGTATATCACATTTAGATATACTAATAATTTTTGAAATGTACGATAATATCATGACATACTTCAATAAAATGATGACAAATTAATTACACACATGTGTTCAATATTATATTTTTGATAATTTTACCAGATAGCTTTGAATTTTAATAATTAATTCCAAATACCTTGAAAATCTAACCTTGGAAATTTGATATTAATAATCGTTTCAATTAATCATTAATAAAAAATAAAAAAAAATTATTAAATCAATTATTTTCGATGTAAAACAAAAATATGTGTAGCATCAGTGAATTGATTCTAAATTTTTTTATAATATTGTATTAATATAAAGTTTATAATACTGATTTAGTATTATTACAAAAATCATAAATATTATATAGGAGTTGGAATTTTGCTGGAAATAAATAAACGTAACTACAATATGTCCGAATTTCTTTTGATAAATGTCAAACGTATATAAGTACATTAGAGTTCATAATTAGCAGAAAGGGATCAACGTCCTTGGCAAATAAGCCGACAGTGAACGAGCAGCTGTACCGATTACCGTTTTGCTGAATTCGAGGGAAGTCCCTCGCGAATGACCGCCTAGAAACACTTGTTATTTACACGTATTATATATTAATGCAGATGTGTCAATAAAAAAAGTATACACAAAAAATTAATCTTCGATCATAAATCCTCATTATTTATAATATATAATATACTCATCTACTTTGATGTGAAATCGATTTTAAAAATATATCTATACTATTTTTCCCGTAATTTATTTTCAAATTTATTATTATAACCCAAGCAAAAATTTACAACCGGCGCAGTGTTGCGCCAGTACTGGCAAAGTACTGACCGCCAATATTGAACCAATACTGGCATATGTTTGGGATGATAACGTTTATTAGTACTGGTCATTAGTAATGGCTTGCCAGTACGGGCTAAATTATAGTAACCAGTAATAAGCCAGCACTGGTTGATATTCAAAATTCAGGGATCTTTTTGCTTTTTACATTAATTGAGCAGCTGGATCGATGAACCGACTCTTCGCTCGAACTTTTAAATTGTTATTTTTTATATTAACATTTTACTCTTTATTTTATTATTCAAATAATTTCTTCAAATATTATAAAATATACATTTTTTCGCCATTGACATGAAAATGTGTCTTTTTTGTGCCTGTTTTGGGCAGATAAAGTAGCACTTGTTAAGGCAGTTTGGGCCAACTGCCTAAAAAAGACTTTTTTAGGCAGAAAACTGCCCTATAAAGTATTTTTTTAGGCAGTTGTTCGACTTGGCTCGCCTTCGTCTCACCTATACGTCGCACTAACGACAGCTCGTACTGAAAATTACATCCTCACCTAAAAAGTACTACTTTACGTGCTTGCCACATAATATACTATTATTTGTATTTGTTTAAATTACCGAAATTGAATGAAATTATTGGTTAAAATACAGTTTTTTTGATTCAAATATATTTTTTCAGTGCGTAAGAAAAATAATTTAAGAACTTCATTAATTATGTATTTTTTTTATTAAAAAGTTTTAATATTAAATTAAAATTTCATAATTCCGTTAACGAACGCATTGCAGTAATCGAAAAGAAGTATTAAAATAATTTTTAAAAAATATGTATGTAAATTTAATTTCTAACCAACAAAAATACACAATTTTCACGTCTATGAAGTTGGCGACGACGTTCAACGTCGAAAATTATTTTTCACGGGACCAAAAATAACAAATCATTTTTAAAAAAGTTTTGGGTTTCACATAATACCTTAAAAAGTATTTCTTAAGGCATTACATATTTGGACCGAAAATCTTTTAAAAAAAATAATTTGACATTTTTGGTTCCGTGAAAAATAATTTTCGGCGCTAAGCGTCAACGCCAACTTCATGGAGGTCAATTTTGATAATTTTTCTGGATACTGGCATTCGGTATTGGATTAATACTGACCGAGTATTGGTTTGCCATTACTGTCTCAATAATACTGGCATGCCGGTATTGGCTTGCAGTATTGGCACAGTACAGAATTTAATCCATATCAGTACTGAACCAATACTGGTAAGCCAACTGTCGGCCAGCCAGTATTGGTGCATTTTTGCGATTATCTCGTAAAAAACGCAAAATTTCGAAAAATGTTTCAAATAAAAGTTGTAGGTCTAAAAAAAACATACATTTCATGTTCTATGCATTTTTTACCAAAAGTGGTTATTTTTCGAGAAAAATCCAAAAAACTATAAAACATCATGTAAAATAACGGAAAAAATAGTGCACATCATAATTACAGAAAAATTTGGTACTTGAAAGTAAACAACCGCGTACATCAAATTGCGTAAACTGCTACTGTGAATCTCACCGACTTTTATTTGAAACATTTTTCAAAAATTTTGTGTTTTTTACGAGATAATCGCAAAAAACCATGATTTTATGGTGTTTTTTTTATGGTTTTTACCATGATAATCACATTTGCGTCTATTTTCATTATCATTTTCATAATCAGGGCACCAAAATACGTTAGTATACCTATTTTTTATACTTCTTGGGTCCCTTTATTGCGAGTCACATATATATTTATTTTTAAAAATACATGTTTTTTTTTTTGTTAAAATAATTTAATTAAATTTTTTTTTTAATCTTTTTCACGTGATTATTTAATGCTACAGATCTTTATATTTAAAATAATAAATATTCGATTGAATTGTAAGATTTTTTTTTCTTGTCTGCAAATTTAAACTCTATAGATATATCTATAAAATTTCTTTGTTCTTTTTTTTTATCGATTTTTATCTGTAAAAATTTTTTTTACGAATTTCCTGGTATATTAAATAAAAAAAAATTTCTTTATCATCTGCAATAAATCCAAATTGATTTTTATAATTGTTTTTTGTGACTTTGACAATATAGTATAGATATATTGTATAAAATCTGGCATAGAGGGGAAACACCTTACGCGATCTAATAAAAATAGAGAGAATACACGTGTATTATTCGCGACTTGAGTCATCGCGCATCAAAGTTCAGGTTGAATGCAACTAGAGTCATTCATTACATTTTTTTTTCCTATTAAGAAACATTTACGATTGCATATAGTTTTTATTAAATAATACTATTTATGTGCACGCGCATCATAGAATATGTTTTTCTCAATCAATACTTTTTTATAAAAATATGTATATTAGAAAAAAAATCAAATTTTTTTTTGAAAAATGTAAAATAATGAACACTATATTTACTATTATTTAATTAAATCAAAATGTTTTTTTTTTGTAAATTGTTAAATATTTTATATAATAATTTATTTATCTTTTTATTAATTTCTTACTAATTATATAATTTTTATTTTATTCACCTGCACATAATATTTATAAAAAAAATTTGAATTATTCGTAAAATATTTTCCTGTTTTTCTCACAGTCATAATCAGTTATTATTATAAAGACAAATATAGGCGAAAAATGATATCAATAAAAATTGTGTTATATGGGCGAAAGTATAGTTAGCCTATAAAAATTAATAAACAAATGCGATTTCTCTTCCGATATATTATGTTTGGATGAGTTGGTACTTGCAATGCGGAAGAAGATTTAAAAGTCATTCCAATTAACAATAATATATTATTCGTTACTAATTTTCTAATTCGCAAATATTGTAATTTTTTTTTATTTATTTTTCTCTAATAATTATTATTAAATTAAAAAAAATGCGCTTACATATCTTTTGAATAGAAGAAACTTTTTTTATTTTAATTTATAAAAAAATAATTCTTCTTTACAATTTTTTAACAGAATTTCCAATTTGCCGAATTTTTATTTATTTGAATTCTTAAATTTCTGAATTTCCATTTGTCCGAAATTGCATATATACGGTAGACAAAAAATCGGCAGAATGATTTCGGCGCTAATTTTTAAATTAATCAATTAGAAATTATCAAGAAAATTGTGATTGGTTAATTTAAAAATTATCGCCGAAATCTTTTTGTCGACCATTTGCAATTTCGGACAAATGGAAATTTGGCATTTAAGGTTATGTTGCACATTCACGAATTTTTACATGCGGGAATGCAGTGGAAAAATTCAATGTCGTCTAACATAACCTTAAAGAATTTTATTAAATGACAATTCGTGCAAATAAAAATTCAGACAAATGAAAATTTGCTAAATTGCAAAAATCCTGGTATTTTAAAATTCAAATCACTTAAAATTCTGAAGAATGATGATAATTTTTTTGCTAAATTAATATTCTACGTTAAATTAGAATTTTTAAATAAAAAATTCGTATACAGAGAAAATCTGTAAAATAAAAATTCGATACTTAAAAATTTTGTTAAGCAAAAATTTGTTTAAAAATAAAATTCTATCAAATGCTAATTTGAAAAATGAAAATACCTTTAAATTTCTCTTTCATTTGAAAGTTTATAACTCGAAGCAATATTTCATTTCAAATACCTATTATATTTAAATTACTTGATCGTATTAATGATTTATATAAATAACGATCAATTGCTTTCTTTGAAAAATTGATTTTTTCACGCCCCGAGGAATTTATACGCATGTATTTTTCAGCTCATTACGCAATTTCATTAGACTTTCTTCAATATTTGTTTTTATTAATTAAAAATTTAATCTCTATAATTAATTTCTGAATTTATTAAAAAAAAGAGGAAATTAACATTTTCTCAAACTTTTCCGTTAATTACACCTGTTTTTTCCCATTTTTATTTTTTTATTTTGAAGTCAGAAATTCCCACATGAATCATTTCGGAAAGGTATATAATATGTGTTTCTTATCAGTGAAATAATCAATAATAATATATGATGTATAATTACAGAGTGTAATTATTTCTATTGTATATATATGTTTTAAATAGAATTTAAAAGCAACAATCTTTACAGTTGTGGTTCATAGGAATCTATTTTAGTTCCGATTGGATTCCCATCAAATGACGGAAATTAAGTCCAGTTAATAATGAAATCGCCCCGCTTGTTGCTCGCGGCATGAGATCCGGCATGAAATTGCTTCGTTGATTCTCAAGTCTGCAAAACATCCGGTTGACCTCTGGCGCATTCGAATCATGATTCGATTGCCATCCGGAAACAATATATAAATGATGAACATGTGAAAATTTATCATCGCTGTGTACTTTTCCTCCATTCCCTTTCACTCTGAGCGCGCGCGCGCGTGTATATAATAGAGTAATATAATAAAAAAAAAATTTTTGTTCTAGAATGATGGAGGCAGTTTAATTGAGAGATATTTACTGATTTATTAATCGGCCTTTCGATGGAAAGTGAGAATCATCATTTAAAATCGCCGAATGTACCCCGACAAGATTCGGGTGTACCGGAGGATATCAATTCACCAACGAATGACTCGAAAAATGAAGAGGATGCCGATAGTAAGTGTTTTTTTCTTTCAGATTGCAATAAAAGACAGAAAAAAAGAACTAAATGTAATAAACACTGAATAAAGGAACTTGAAAAGCAAAAATAAAAAATTATAGGTTATTCCTGTGGTTAAAATTTCTGACTAATTCCGAATTGAATTCGAATAGATCAGTCCGGACGGTAAGAAAAATCCGAGATAAGTCCGAAATAGTCAGAAAATTACATAAAATCAATTCAATGTATTCAACGGTCTTTGAAATTCTTTGGTAAAAAGGGACCTTTAATTATCGCCCTATAAAAACGGCACTGAATGTGAAAATGATAAAAATTGATTTTAAAACACTTTTTTCATCGAATTATGGACACTTTTTTTTTATAAAATCGGCCAACGTACCAAAATTTCTTATTTTATAAATTTCCAAAATCCGAAAGATTTTTCGAATCCATGCAAAAAACGCGATCGTAAAATTGGAAATAGGAAAGTAATATAATGACAGTTGCGTCTTTGTGATCCTTGCATGCTTCTGCCATCTAACGGCGGTAGGACGTAATAAAGCTGTCATTATATTACTTTGCTATTTCCAAATTTTGCGGTAGCGTTTTTGTATGGATTCGAAAAATCATTCGGATTTAGAAAATTTATAAGATAAGAATTTTTGTTACTTTGGCTGATTTTATCAATGTTTATCATTATTATTATTGTTATTATTTGATGGAAAAATCAAAATTACTTTATAGCTGATTTATCTGCATTTCATTGAATAGAAAATTCGCAATTTTTTTTTATATTCAACTTATATTACAATTTTAACTAGGGGGATTAATGAGCCAAAATTTCTAAACGTGCAAATGAACGAAACATTTTTTTTCAATCTATAAATTATTAAAAATTATGATGTCAATGTAAAATAAAACAGTAAATTAAATTATTAAATTAACTAGCAAAATTAAACGCGCGCAAGCGCGCCAAATTGAGTATTTAATTGTTTGTTATAAAGAAATTAAAGATTAATATTATCAATAATAATTTAATTTATTAGAATATTATTACATATTAAATGATAATAATGAAAATTATATGTTTACAGGCCTCGGATTAAACGAATTCTTCCGACTTTTTTCAAAAATACGACTTTTATCGACTTACTTTAATAAAATGCGACATTTTTTTTTACATTTGAAAAAAAAATGTAAATAAAATACATTTTTTTAGTATAAAATGTAGATCTTTTTCAGATCTTCTTCAATTCAATTATTAAACAAATTTTGAACTAAAATGATTCTTCACTAAATTAATTATTTTTAATAATTTTAATGAAATACTTCACAAATTCAATTATATCAAAATTATTTTTCAACTAAATTTTTTATAAAATTTAACAATTGTTTATAATTAAAAAAATATATATCACAATAAAATTGCATTATTTTTTAAAAATTTCAATTCAAAATAAACTAAAATTCAATTATTACCCGAAATTTTAATTCAAAATCAATTAAAAATCCAATAATTATCCAAAATTTTCAATTTAAAATTTAATTATTTACTAAGTTTTCAATTTAAAATGAAATAAAATTCAATTATTTTCTAAAATTTCTATTCAAAATTAATTATCCAAATTTTCAATCAAAAATGAACTTAAATTAAATTATCCAAAATTTCAATTCAAATTCAATTATTTTCCAAAATTTTCAATTCAAAATGAACTGAAATTCAATTATTTTCCAAATTGAAAATCAAATAAAATTTAATTATTCTCAAAAATTTGAATTCAAAATTAATTGAATTTTTAAGAATTTGAATTTAAAAGCATCTAAAATTTAATTATTTCTAAAATTTTCCATCGAAAATTTTTTTTTTGAAATTTAATAATTTCAATTATAACTCTAAGGAAATTCAATTATTTTTAACTATTTTAATAATATTCTTTGAAATTTCAACTATCTGAAACCATTTTTTAATTGAAAATGATTTTCAAATTATTGTATTTTCTCCGCATTTTCTAATAAATTTTTAGTGAAATCATCTAAAATTTTAATTACAAAACACTTAAAGTTTCAATTAATTTCAAAAATATCAATTTTAAATCTTTGAAAATTGAATTATATTTAAAAAATGTTTTTTCAAAAATTGCTTGAAAAATTATTTTTTGTTCTGTAAAATTTAATAATTGTTTGAAAATTAACAATATCTGTTGAAATTTAATTATTTCTAAAAATTTCAACTTTAACCCTTCGAAAAGGATTATTATTTAAAAAAAAATTTTTATTTAAAAATCTGAAAAATATTTTTGTTAAAATAAAAAACAAATCCACTTTTTTTTGGAATATAAATCGACTAAAACGACTTTTTGTGTCTTTAAGTTGATTCGAGGCCTGTGTTTTTATAATTAATATGTAATAGGTATTCATTGGCCCCTGGTACCTTAAAAATTAATTTTTTTCAAATTACTATCTTGTACGAAATTTCCTGGTACATCTTTTTTCTCATCATAAATTTTTTGTATTTGTAAACAATTTTTGTATCAATATACAACTTTAAAAAAAATTTCGTTGGTAAACGTTGTGTACTTCAGCAACGTGAATTGAATTTTCAAATTTGAAATTTTAAAGAAACTTATTCCGAAATTTGGAAACACAATTATACAACTTTGGCAAAAATGAGAAAAAGAATTGTCAAAATTTGACACGTCATAAGATTACTATTAAAAAAAAACACGTGAAATCAGAAAAGGCCAACTTCAAGTTAGGATAGAAGGACAGACCAAGCATTTTATTATTATATAATAACTTCTTTTTAGATATTTAAAACAATATTTTCTAATAAAATTCGTACTTAAAGAAGTTTAAAAAAAAAAATTTCGTTTATTTGAACATTTAAAACTTTTGACTCATAAGAATTAAAATTTATAAAATGCATTTAATTTAATTTTTTTTTTTCAGGCACGATAAACAGCGACTGTAACATAACAGTGATTGATGTGAATGAATTAAAATTAAACAAGGAGAAGGTTGCTTTGCAAGTTTTAGACAAAGAGAAAAAAGACTCAGAGAGCAAAGACAGCAAGGATGGAAGTGATAGTGGAGTGGAAGTTTGCGTTACAGAAATTCCAAGGGTAAGAGTGAATCTCTTTTTTCATCTCATATATAAATCAAATGTTCTTTAATTTCAATAATGAAACTCGATATGTCCGTATGAATATTATATGAATATTGGAGGAAAAAATTTGTAATTTTTTTTTTTCTTTGCTTCACAGGCAAGAAGTAACAGTGTCGACTATGCGAGTAGTTGTGGAGGCCTCGATGAAGCGTCTTGTGATTCTAGTCTAGTAAGTTGTTGTTCCGTCTATGAAGATCCATGCGCTATTTTGCCCGATGACATGAGACTGAATGCAGGAGGTGAAGGAACAAGCGAAGGCGGTAGCGAAAGTTCATCGGTAACTGGAAGTATATCAGCACGAATGAATCGCATAAACAGCAAACGAACATCATTGACATCAAATTCAACGAAAAAAAAAACCAATACCGTCGAACAAGCGCAAAAAATTTCTCGTGCAAAACCCTCGCCTACTAATAATAATAATAACAACAACAATAAAGATTCTACCTCAACATGCGCAACACCACGATCAAAAACACGATCAGTCACGCCAAGAAATATCGTTACCAGAACACCGTCAATTAATCGCGATAGAGGTAAATCACGTGATAAATCAATTCCAAGGGAAAATTCAATAGAATGCACAACATCGAGCAGTCGATGTTCAACCCTTCGTACAACATCAAATTCCATACCACCGAAAACAAGATCTCGACCAACTCCCGATTCTTTACCTTCTGTTCTCACCAATGAAATTAATAAAGATTTGGCACAACGAGGAAGAGGTGCAACTATTTCCAGAACGAGAGGTGGAACTAATAATCGTGGACGATTAAATACACCAACGACACCTTCTTCTGAGGAAGCACGTAAATTACCACCATTATCGGCGAGAACGGTCTACACTGGACGACTTGAAATAAAAAATATTCGAAACGATAGAATGTCATTGAGTTTAGATAGAAATACACTCGAGGCTTATGCAACACTACCACGTAGACCTAGAACAAGATTATCAATTGGTATGCCAAATGAAAAACCGGAAATTGGTGGAAGAAGTCGATCGGGAAGTAGAGAAACTAGTCTAAGTCGAATTATGCAAAAGAAGACGGGTAATAGTGTAAAAGAATCAATGAAGAATAATTTTTCATTGAAAACAAAGTCAATTGAAAAGACACGAATTTATCATGAAGTTAGTATACAAACGGGATTAACAGGAAATGATATTGAGAATGTATTGGCTGGTATTGTTACAAGATTACCAAATCCAGAGGCAAGTGAAAAAATTCAACAGGAAATACAAACTGATGGTTCGTGGGAGGATATTAGAGTATTAAAGGAGGAATGCAAAAGAATTGAGGATGATAATAATAAACAAAAGGAGGAGAATAAAAAATTGAAAATAGAATTAGAAGCAGTGAAAAAACGTCTAAAGGAAGAGGAGGCTGATCATGCGTTTGCACGACAGGAATTGGATAGAAATGCTCAGAGAGTATTGGCGATGCTCGGTACACCACAATCTGAATATCCCGGTATGTTATGGATTTTTATTATTTAATTCACTATTATCTTTGTTTTTATTTGGATAAAAAATTTCCAAAATGTTTCAATGGCATTGATACATTGATAAAAATCATGATTTTTTAAATCTAAATTTTTCTTAATTTTTTGTTTTTTAATGAATATTTAAACGATAAATTTAATAATAAAAGCATCAAAGAAATATTTAAATATTTTTTTCAAAGAAAATAAATTTTTTTAATTAAAAATTAAAATTTTCCAACAATTCATGCTTATCAAAATTATTAAAAAAATTTATTAAAATTAGAATTGATATTTAAAAATTTTGAACTTAAATTATCATACAAAAAAAAATTTTTTTTTAAATGTTTTGAATTTTACAAATTTAATAACTTTCTGATAATAATAAAATAATACTTAAAAATAATAAAAATTATGTTTTTAATTTTAAAAAAATCGCTTGAAATTTAATTATTTGCAAAAATTTCAATTATTTTTAATGATTTTTATAATATTCTTCGAAAATTCAATTATCTGAAAGCATTTTTCAATTAAAAACTTTTGGAATTTAATTTTTGTATGAATAAATTCTTCATCAACAGAAATCACTGAAAATTTCTCTTGTTATAATATTATTGTCTAAAATTTAACACAATATTTTGAAATTCAATTATTTTTAAAAATTTCAATTTAAAAGCTTCTAAAATTTAATTATTTCTAAAATTTTTTGAAATGTAATAATTTCAATTATAATTCAAAATTCAATTATTTTTAATGATTTTTATAATATTCTTCGAAAATTTCAATGAAAAAATATTTAGATTTAGTCATTAACATTTTATATCAAATAATTCTTCGAATATTCATCTATCGGAAAGTAATTTCTTACTTAAAAAGTTTTCAAATTATTTTATTTTTGTCTGCAATTTCTAACAAATTTTTTTAGTGAAATCATAAAAAATTTTAAATTAAAAATCACTTCAAGTTGAATTAATTTCAAAAATCAAAATTGTAAATCTTTGAAAATTCAATTACTTTTAAAAAATGTTATCTAAAATTATTTGATAAATTATTTTCAGTTCTGAAATGTAAAATTTAATTATTGTCTGAAAATTAACAAAATCTTTTGATAATCAATTATTTTTAAAAATTTCAACTTTAACTCTTCAAAAATTATTATTTAAAAAAAAAAATTATGTAAAAATCAGATCTGTAAAACTTGATTAAGTATTGCCGGAAATTTTTTTGACCATTAAAACTAAAAACTATTAATTCGAATAAATTGTTTAAATCAGACTTGAAAAAATGATAAAAATGGAATTTTAAGAATTTTTTTTAGAAATTTATCCTACTTAAATAAAATTTTGAAAATTTGTCTCACAATTAGTTCGATTCTGAAATATTCGAAATAAATTTTCTTGATAATATATTTATAGAATTATTCTCATTACGGAATTAATAAAATTAATTTAATATCTAATAACATTTAAATTTAAAGTAAAATATTCATTAACCAATTAAATTTTGTTAAAATGAAAAAAATCGAATTTTTTGACTTTTTTTGGAATATAAATCGACTAAAACGCATTTTTTTGTGTCTTAAAGTCGATCCGAGGACTGAATCATGATTCTTAGTATTTGTTTCTGTATTTTTTTGTCAAATCTAAATTTCCTTTTCTTAATTATTTTTTAAACGAATTATGAAAAAACAATCAATTTTAAATTGAAAAATCGTAAATTGAAAATAAGCTTTATATTTACAATATTCTTTGAAATTATAAAAACATAATATTTTCGAAAAATTTATCATTTTTTTTCAAATTTGACAAATTTAAAAAAATTTGAATTAATTCACACTATTTATTTATTAACAATAAAAATTCAATTACTTAAAAAAATTTAATTCTTTAAAATTAAATCATTGTAAAATGTAATTATTTTATAATTTAATTATCATTTTCAAAATTGTTCATTACAAATTTAAGTGAAAAAAAAAAAATGAAAATTCCCATTCTTTACAGAAGGTAGCGATAGTTTTCTGGAATTGGAGACACATTTGCAGTCGTCGGGAAAAGTCGTTGCAAATCAGCAAATTGAAATTGCTGACTTGCAGTCCCTTTGCCGAATGCTCAATAGAGTAAGAAATTACATATATATTTTTTAACATCATAATAATGATTGAGTTATTAAAAAATAAATTGACTATTAAAATATTATTTCTTTTTTCTAGGACTTGGAAAAAAGTTTAGCTGCTCAGAAAAATCTACTTCAACAACAACAGGAATTTGAAGCAGAATCAACGGAAATGCAGGATTTTCTACAGGAAGAAAAATCTGCTTTAGCAGAGGCACTTAAGGATTCTGAAATGGAGGTGAGTATTGTTATTTCAAACAAAAAAATTTAATTTTCAAATATTTTGTTATTGTAATTTTTAAAAAAAGAAGTGAAAATAATTTATAGACCTTAAAAAAACGTTTACACGAAAGAGAAAAATTGTTTAAAAAAATGAATTTTTCCAATTGTCTCCTATAATATTTAATTATATTTACAGTTAAAAACAAAGGAAGACCTCGTGGCACTTCAAAGATCTGAACTTGAAAGACAAACCGAAGAATGTAAACATTTGGTGCGCATCAGTGAACAAAGAAGGTAATAATTGAAAATATTTATCGAATAATGAAATTTTGTACAATATTTATTTATTAATTATTAATAAATAATTCGTAGAGAAATTTATATTGAAACAAAATTATTACTAAAATTTATATTGCTTCTTGTATTGTAGACAAGAGAATTTATCTTTGAGTGTGAGATTAAATGCAATTGAAAGAAGAGGCAGAGAATTTTCTCTTGCACAAGGAGCAGCTGTTTCTGGAGCTTCGGTTGCACTATCTGGTCTCGGAAATCGATTGGAAGGATTAGTAGATCAATTAATTATGTCATACAACATTTTAGAAAAGGATCTTGAGGTAATTTTTTCATTTTTCCTCAAATTTAAATGATATTTTAGAGATTTTTCCACTTTAAGAAAACATTTCTATTTTATAAATTTCTGTTTTATAAATTTCTTTTTTATATAAATTTCTATTTTATAAATATTTTTACAGGACGAAATTTTCCATAACGAGGCTTATAGTCAAAGTAACAGTAGTGTTGACTCGAGTCCAGTAAGTTCGAGGCACAGTATTAAGGATTGTACACCCAGTCCAAAAAGAGGATCCTTTGTTTCCGCTGTTATTGGCGCAATTAGAAATGCAGCGACACATCCCTTCATGGGGAAAAGTGACAAAAAAACGACAACTGCCAAACAAATTCAAAAAGGTAATTTTTCAACATTTTTTTTACATTACCGTCAACCTACAAAAACGATATTTTTTTTTTTTACTTAAAATTCAGAATTTAAAAAAATTATTTTTTACTATTTTGTTATGTTCTTAAAATTTTCTTTAAGTTGGAAGACAAAAAATTTATAAAATTAACTGAAAATTTTTTTTAATTTATTTGTATTAAATATTTTCTGTAAATTGTCGAGAATACAAAACAAATTTTCGAAAAATAATTAATTTAAAAAAATGGACAAACAGAAGATCCAGATAGAATTTTGCAAACTTAGAAAATAGTTGATCTCACTTTCACGACTTTACGAATTTTTTTTCTGCTTTCTTACAAAAAAGTAAGTAGTTTACATTTAAGGCCCTTTATAGTTCAACTATCAAACAATATTTACACCAAGCGGCATATTTGAATATTTTAAAATAAAAATTTTATTCATTAAAAACTGTCGATGGGTATAATAGCCCTTGGAATAGTATAATTACCCCAATTGACGATAAATAGAAAAATTGAGTTAAAGAAAATTTTTTTTCTTCACTTTTAAAGTTTTTTTATATTAAGAAAAAATTGCGTTATTTTTCTAAGAGAATTTATTTTCTTCATACTAAATTTTTTTAAAAGAAAACATTTTCATATTAGTAAAAAAAAAAATTAAATCACATAATTTTAAACCAATTTTAATATTGTATTTCTAACTTTCTTAAGAACTGAGTACAGAATCTTCGTCCGAGCTACTTGATTTTGAAACGGAACCATGTCTTATGATGGAAAGTGTTTTGGAGGATGTTCCATTACCTGATACATATTCGCACAATATGATATCGAGCTGTGATTCATTGAGAAGAGCTCTAAGTGTTCCTGAAACAGATGAAGATAATTTTCGCAAAACAAGACTCAAAGTTGAAAGCACTAGTTTGACAAATCTTTCACACGCTATTTTAAATAGACGAAAGGTTAGTATAAATAAAAATAATTATTTTACGGATAAAAAGTTCTTCCAAATTTAAATTTTCAAGTTAAATAACAATTTGATTAAAAAAAAAAAAATTTTTAATTTTGCTCTGAGATTGCAATTGAATTATGTAGAAAAAAATAGTTTGTCGGACACTGATGTCAAGAATAAAAAGTAATTATTATTAATTGTATTTCTTTTTTTTTTTTTTTTGTTTTGTTTCTTTGTAGGTGGAAGATGAAGAAGAAGACAATTATGAGTCTGTGAGTGAGTCAGATATTCTAGACGGTCCAACGTCATTAAATTATTGTCCAGCAATTAGTCTTGTTGATCAAGTCATTGATGTTGATAATCTTGTTACTAAACTTTTAAAAGTTTTGCGAATCATTCAACTTGACAATGATACATGTATTCGTGAACTCAGAGACGAAAAGTAAGTGCATTTAATTACTATTTTTAATGTTTCTTTATTTATTTTTTTTTTAAATTGGTTCCATTTTTAAAAATTAGTTTTTTTTTTTAACTTTGTCTAAAAATTGTCGAATAATTTGTATTTAAATTAGAAAAAAAGAAATTCAATAATTTTTTTTAAATATCTATTTTACTGAATTCAATAATAAAAATTTGTCTTATTCTTATTGAAGTTTTATTGAAATTAATTAATTTTTTTTTAATATTTAATAGTAATAATTAACAATGAATATTTAATAATATTATAATAAAATAGTTTTTATTAATTAATTACATAAATATCAATTTTTTGCGATTAAAGCAATTTTTAAGTTTCTTAAATGTATTTAAATATATTTCAATGATAAAAATAATCATTTTTACATTTCAAAAAAAAAATATTTTTTTTTAAACTTTTGTTTAATTAGAACTACACTGGAGGCTAGACTGGAAATGTCTGCAGAGGAATTGAAAGAGATGCAGAGGACATTAGAAAGCTTGCGTGAGTCAGATGGATCTTATGATAATGTAGTTGAGAGAAAAAGCATAGTAGAAAATTGTCGTCATTTGATAAAGGAGGTAAATAAGGCATTTAAAGATTTTCATTAAAAATTACAAATACAAAACAAAGAAGAAAATTCGTTCAATTATTAAAATTTTGACAATTTTTTAGAACAGGAAAGATATATAAAAAAAACATATTTATTGTTATTGATCCATTGGATTTAATATTCGAAAATTGTATTTAATTTGTAAGAATTTGACGTTAAAGATGTTTTTTGATATATCTTTCCTGTTCTAAAAAATTGCAAATATTTTAAAGAAATTATAATTTATTATTAATTTGGACAAAATATCAATGAAGATTTAAAAGAATTAAGTATTATCAAATAATATGATTATTGAAATAATTAATTTTTAATACTAATATATATTTATTATTATTAATAATATTTCACTTATAATTTGTGTTAAATTTGAAATAATTACTTAAAGACGGTGAAAAAAGAGGAATTATTGGCGGAAGATGCTGAGGTGGATCGAGAACAAATTAATGGAGATCACAACGCCAACGAATCAGGCCTTCATTCTTCCAGAACATGTTCCTAATAAAATTCTGCCACGTCCAATTCTTTGTAATTATTAAAAAAAAAAAAATACTTTTTAGAATCGACGCAGTTCAAATCCAAAAGAATCAACAAAAATGAAATAAAAAAAAAGTCGTTAAGACGATTGACATGATTCTTTTTTTTAAAAAGATACATATCGCCAGGTTGCGATTGTCCTATATGTAATTGTCAAAAAGAAAAAACTTTAAAAAAACGCTTAATACGAAAAATGTGAAAAAATTTTTCGATCTGAAAGTTTAAAATGTTAAAAATCAAATTTATCTGTACATATAGAAAATGCGATATTGTTGACAAAGTCAATATTGTAGCAAATCGCGACTTATTTGATGCTGTTGCCTTTTTATTCTATTTTTCGAATCAGTATTTTTTTCCAATAACACTCACAATTGAGTTTTTTTTTTTAATTTGCCGTTTTTTCTATAGATTTAATAAGCAAATTTTTGATAAATTTTTAATTTTAATCGATTCAATTATTTTTTTAAATTTAGATGAATTTTTTGAAAAAGTAACGTTAATAAATTACTATTATTATTATTATTATTATTGTGGGTCTTCCAATGCAAAACAAAAAGAAATATCAAAATTAGTTAATGAAAGAAATCGTTTTAGAATTTTCCTTTCATCCGTGATTAAATCGCATTCTGATATTATAATTAAATAGTTTTATTTTGAGAATATGTTTTTTAAGTCATTATTTTCAAGACTGTATTTTTATGTTATTATTCTTTAAAAAGAAAGAAAGAAAGAAAGAAAGAAAAAAAAAGAATGCATCGAATCGAATTTTGACGAATTGTTGCAAACTTATAAAGAGATTCTAATGTGAAATGTTAAGCTTTGTCATGAAAAATGAAAAAAAAAAAAAATTTTTGATAGGAAGAAAAAACAATTTGATTTACGTTATATATATATATATTATTTTGATGCGTGTGTACAATAGCCGAAGGAATTTACACTTTTTAGCCTAAACATATTTAATTAGATCTCTATTCTGATTCTTTTTTTTTTTAATGCTCAATTATGCATTTTAATGTAAGAAAAACTCGTGTGTGTTAGCAAAAAAGAAAAACAGTTTGCTGTGATTTTTCATGCTAATCATTTTGTTTGAGAGATTCTTGAATTATTTTCAAACTCTTATTCTCTTTGCGTGTGTATGTGTGAGATAATTTCCCCTTAATTAAGGAAAAGAAACAAAAAAAAACAGACTTTCGAGAGAAACTTGATGACTCAATTTTTATTTTTTAATTTATATTAACTGATGACTCGACTTTTGATTTTAAGTTCAATTTTTGATGATGACTCAACTCTTTCTTTTAAGTTCATTGAAAAATTAGTTATTTTAATATTTTTTTTTTTATTATTATTGACGTGAAAGAGTGTAAAATGACCATCAGTATAATTATATTATATATTATTCACAAATATAATTGAAAAAAATACTCAAAACTACAAAATTGAAGTAAAATTAATTTGCAAAAAATTTTGTAGCCTATTAAAAAAATCATAGACTTAATAATTTTTTTTTATACATGATGATTTGCCAAAGAAGCTGGTATAGAAAACTGTAACTTTAAAGAAACAAATAAACTTTTCCATAAAAAATTAAATTATTTTTTTTTCGTATCCTTTTTAATTAATATGTATTTATTAATTTAAATAAATAATTTTAAATTGTAATTTAAAATTATTTGAAAACAATTATAATATAAGGAAGGGGAAAAATAATTAACATTGAATTTTTTTTTCATTGAAAGTAAATAAAAATTGAGAAAATTTTTATGAGAATGATATTTTTTTTATTACAATTATACATGTTATAATGTGCTCGATGAATGCGTTGATTTAACGGCATGTAAGAGAGTCCAATGTGACCTTGTATGGGAAAATGTGTTTTATAAGAACCAATTTCACTCTAAAATGAGAAAAGATTTTTGTTTAAAATTTTCAGGAATGATAAAAAATGGTATAATGCATATCGCTGTTCTCCCAAAAACAATAAATAAATTATTTTCAAAAATAAAAAAGCTTAAAAAGTTATATTTTTAAATGAAAATGAAATCAAACATGGCGTCGGGTATACAGACGTCGCTTGAGTGTATTAAGGCGCTCTCACACCTTTTTGGCTGCCTGCAGGTTACCATGGCAACGCATGAGAGTAATGGCGCACTCACACCTTTTTTGGCTGCCTGCCTGCCTGCAGGTTACCATGGCAACGCACGAGTGTGAGTGAGACAGAAAATTTGAATATTCAAATTTTTAAATTTTCTGTCGCACTCACTCTCATGCGTTGCCATGGTAACCTGCAGACAGCCAAAAGGTGTGAGTGCGCCCTGAGTGCGACAGAAAATTTAAAAATTTGAATATTCAAATTTTCTGTCTCACTCACACTCGTGCGTTGCCATGGTAACCTGCAGGCAGGCAGGCAGCCAAAAAAGGTGTGAGTGCGCCATTAGTGGCCCAGTAAGTAGCGCCAATTCGAATTAGTGACCGCTGAATGTACTAAGAGAAATACATTAGTGTTTATTGCTTTATTTTTATTATTTTTGCGTCAAGTTATAGTAAATGAGTAGAACAGCGATATTCTTTATACCCTTTCTCTTAACATTTCTCGAAAATTTTAACACGAAATCATTTTTTATTTCAGAGAAAGTTTCAAGACTACAAAAAAACGTCCTTTTCTCACATACCCTTAATATGACATAATTATATATCGTTGACTTAATTTAAAAAATGAGTTCTTGTAAAATTCAGGAAATTATCTTACGAAATGCCTTCTCTGTTCCAACAATGGTGCAATCAAATTAATCAATTTTACCGAAACTGGTCTGAAAGAGAAAAAAAAAATTATTTTGTTTATCCCCTTCCCCTTATTTTAATTTAAAGTTATCTGCCAAAAAATATATAATTATTGAATAATAATTTAATTAATACTATTTTACTCTTATTTTAAGAGGATGGCAATATGCTAGTATCTTTTTTTTCACATTTAGTATATAATATTCTCAGAATAAAAATAATATTCTCGGATGATGAATATTTTTCTGTACTTTTTAAGGGGATTTACAGATAACCTGTATTTGCGCGCATGCGCAAGTTGACGTCACAGTTATGGCGTCAACTGCAGGTTAGTTTCCATTGTTCCTACTCGTCAATTGGGCATAATTCTCGTTAACTATCGCACCCTGCTCTAGTAAAAATTAAGTAACTTTTAATTTTAACAATAAAATCACTAAATTTTTACTAGAGTAGGGTGCTGTAGTTGACGAGAATTACGACAAATGGCGAGCTGGGGGACAATGACAATCAACCTGCAAATACAGTCAGTACAGTGATGTAGTATCTCTTGTATATGTATTTATAGTGTCTGTGTGTATCATTGTTTTTATAAATAGTGAGAAAAAGGGAAATTTTCTTTTGAATATTTTGAAGTAGTATAACTTCAACAGAAAGTGGTTATTTTTTTAATGTAAGTATACAAAATATTTTTTATTTAATATTGTGCTCGTGATTTTTTTCCGTGCAGTAAAGAATATAACCTGTTTTAAATAACATGTGTATATACATTTTGTGGTTTGAAAACAAAATATTTTTTAAAATTGAGAGGAAATTCGTTTTACTATATTGTAGAGAGAAATTTATATTATATTTTCTAAGTTACCCCCCCCCCACACACAGCACATTTTATGTCCTAAACATTTCATGAATATTTCATTGAAAGATTTGAAATATTTCAATGCAAGGTTTATGAAATGTTGATGAAAACAGGAAAATGTCCGCCTATAAGAAATATTGCCGTGCAATTTTGCTGAAATATTACACTTTAAGACTCCTGCAATATAACACATGAAGACTCTGCAATATTCAGGAAATATTTCAAAGAAAGTTAGAAACTTTTTTTAAAATATGAAATCAATCGTTATTTTCTAACATGTTCAACACCTTAGTATCCTAGAAAATTAAAAACTACTGCGCAGCTGTACAGGACATAGAAACTGAGATCGACCAGTGCGCATCATTTAAGTTGGAATTTTTCTATAATATTTTAATGAAATATTTCAGCAAAATTACACGGCAATATTTCTTATAGGCGGACATTTCTCTAATTTCAGCAATATTTCAAGGACTTTGCTTTGGAATATTTCAAAATTTCAATGAAATATTTCAGAAATATTTAGGAAATATAATGTACTGTGTGGGCTCACAGCACCGAAACTTTCCTAAAGATTTATTTGAAATGTTTGGAATATTTAATTGCAAAGTTTAGTGAAAATTGTGTAAAGATTTAAATGTCCCGATTAAATAAATGTTTGTTTGTAAACTTTGCAATTAAATATTCCAAACATTTCAAATAAATCTTTAGGAAACCTCCCACGTGATCTAGTATGGGAAAATGTGTTTTGGTAGTATACATCTTACTCTAAAACGAGAAAAGATTTTTGTCTAAAATTTTCAGATTTGGGTACAAGAAATTTGGCTGTTCTCCGAAAAATACATAATTTTGCTTTAAATTATTAAAAAATGAAGTTTAAAAAGTTTAATTTTTAAACGAAAATGAAAACAAAGATGGCGGAGCATACACAGACGTTGCTTGAGTGTGTCAGTGCTCCAGTAGACGGCGAGAATACAGAATGCAAAGCTGAAAACCATGAGTGCAAAAGAGATTGAAAGATATCGCTATCCTTTTCACTCTCATGATTTTCAACTTTGCATTCTGCATTCGCGCTGTCATGGGACTGCACCTTTGAGGTCATGTGTGATTGTTGTTATTTCTCTGCAGGTTTTTTTCGCAAAATACTTGATAGATTTGAGCTAAAATTTTGTGGAGTACTCAAAAATGGTTACTATTATTAAAATATTTACTTGCATCACATAAATAATAATTATTTAATACAAAATAAATATTTATTTGATAATAGTCAAGTAACTGATTATGTGAATCAAATAAATTTTTTTCCAGTTTACTATTTTTGAAGAAAAAAATTTATAATTAAAAATTATTATTATTATTATTATTATTATAAAAATTTTATTATTTTTTTTATTTTTCACAAAATCATATGACCTGAAGGAGGTTTAACTATAATTAACTTACTGACATAACCTCAAATTAAAAAGTTGTTTTAACTATAAATAAAACTACCTGTAGTTAAAATAAAATTTATTTTTATCAAATTTTGAAAGATTCAGTTGTACATTGAAAAAATTGTGAGCCAAAATTTGTTATAAATAATAATAATAATACCTAATATTAAATAAAAATAAATAATTATTTAATTTTTTGTTTAAAATTAGTATAAACAATTATAATTTTCATACATCTTTTTCAATAACAATAACAAATTTTTTAAAAATTTTATCTACAATTCTGTTTGTTGAATTTTATTAACAATATATTTTGTTTAAAAGTTATTAAAAAAATAACATTTTTGTTTTTAATATTTTTTAAATTAAATATTATTTAATAAAAACAAATAGAATTGTAGAGAATCTATTAAAAAATCAACATGAGCTATTATTTGAAAAAAAAAAATGTATAAAAATTGTAATTATTCTCACTAGCTTTAAATAAATAAAAGCAAAAAAATTAAATAATTATTATGTGACAAATTTTGATTCAAAAAAAAATTTTTTTTTCTTGAAACTGTACAACTGGATTTTTGCGATTTAATGATACATTTATTTTCTACAACCCCATAAAATTGTTCCACGGAAGTTAAATAATAACTCCATGCACAAAAAAACCGAAAGTATTGCGATTTGAAAGAAAAAACTTAGCAAATCTGTTTCTATTTACCCCAACTGACCCTTAAATGAGAATTATACTGAATTAAAATTTGGTTAAATTAAATGTTTTTTAAGTAAAAATTTTTGTTAAAGAAAAAGTCTGTAAAGTAAAATTTTGGCCAAATAAAAATTCGGTACCTAAAAATTCAGTTAATTAAAAATTCATCTAAAAAATAATTATATCTAATAAAATATTTTTCAAAATGAAAATTTTAATTAATGATTTTTATATGATAATCATATAAAAATATTTTAGTTTTTAATTTAGTTCTTCAAAATCGGTTCAGTAGAATAGATATCATTCATATTATCAAAATTCGATATGCCCTCTACCGCCGCCATCTTGGATCAAAAGTGTTAAACACAATTTTGTTTTTGTTTTTAGATAAAGTATTTATAACATCTCAACGAAATTTTGTAATTCAATATGATGTTTTTTTCATTTGGAAAAGAAAACTTTTAAACTAATTTTGCTTATTTTAATACCAAAATGGATTAAAATAATAAGCGTTGCAGCTTATTTTAATGCCTTTTAATTTTCTGTGTTTGTATCAGTAAAAAAAGAAAGTTTCAAATCAAGACTAAAAGTGACTTGTAATCACAAAGAATTGTTTTTAATTCTTTTAGCTTTACTGTAATCTTTTTTTTTATTACTTTATCTGTAAGAGATACACCCAAAGAAATGATATATTTGTCTCAGAGCCTAATAAATATTTATTTGATTCAAATAAATTTTTCTTTGATTTATATAAAAAATTTTATTTACGCCAAATAAATGGGCTAGTAAGGCTCTGAGACAAATAAACATTTATTTAAATCAAATATATATTGTATTTGGTTCAAATAAAACATTTCTCTAGGTGTAATTTTAATCAAACGGAGTATAGTAATTAATTTTTATATTCATAATTGTAAAAATGGCAAATTTTAATAAACGAGTGATGAATAATATACTGACCCATCAGATGGTTTTGGCGCTGAATAATAAAGAGGTGATAATTGTTGATTGTGAGATTCAGAATGTTGATTATTAATTGCCTTTAAACCAGTGGGATTAAGAAGAGCTGTTATATTTGGCTTTCCACCTAATAGATCAGAATCATCAGAGCCGGCTGCTGCTGCTGCACCACCTGCCAAAAGAAGTGCCTCCACTGGTGCAATGACAAAAACTAAACCATCCACTTGAATTCGATAATTTTCCGTTCCATTTTGTCTTTGATCATATTCATTAGTTTTTCTTTCCAAATCAATGTTAGCAGGTTTTTGTATATCTGGAATAGCAGCAGCAGGGGTAGGCGATACGTCAACCTCTGATTGTGGCTTTAAATCCAAACCTGCTGGTGTTTCAGGTTTTAGTTCAACATTTGATTCTTCTACAGATTCTGATGGTTTATTATTCGAAATTGGCTTTTCCTTTTCGACTGAAGGAATTTTCTCTGGTTCCAAGGAACTGGACTTTTAAGCAAAAACGTTACATTATTGTCATCGTAATAAAAAATTAAATGAAAATTAGATATAAAAATGATGATGAATTATTATATTATTATGATGATGAGGAATAAATGACAGTTAGTTATTTTTTGATATAAAACTTACTGGTAACGCTACATCGTTGTGTGCTTCGGATTTTGATAGAGGATGACCTTGACTAATGACAATGGCAAACAATAAAACTAGAACGCTGAATAACCTCATATTTTTATGATTATTTATAAATATAGTTTAATTATTTATTTTTTTCGCTATTTGATTTGAAAAATTCAAGTCTTCTTTATATTTTAAATATAATCAAAGACGTCCTGCGATGGTGAAGGACGATTGAACAGTGTGAGCACAAAGTCTATTCGTTCGAACGATCCCCACCTGTCAGGAATATCTTCCAAGTTCAAGGACCCTCGAGTTTCTTCTCTGGCTACCTTTATATATATATATATATTATACAACACGCGTAGGTTGTATAAAAGATTAAGAAAAGCTTTCTATACATTCAAAAGATGTTAGAAACGGTAATTCACTTTAATTTTTCTCAAATATATCACTTCCTTATTTCATTTTTCTCCAATGTCAATAACTGCAATTATTTTAGAAATTATTCAAGTTTAAATGGGGCACATGATTGTCTGATAAAATTCATTATAGTTAGAATTTTTATTTGAAAGAATTTCGTTAGATAAAATTTTCTTCTCGTCTGATTTCTAACCGTGTAACTGTTACCAGGCCAGTTGATAAAAAATAACCGGTAAAATACTGCAGTCTTGTACGAACATTCGAGTCTGCTTTTATATCGTCAAAGTAGTTACACCGGCAACAAAATTAGTATCGGTTAGGTACTGCATCAATATATTCGAGTCCGCTTTTATACTTTATGAATATTTTACTTTATAAATGCATAATCTGTAAAAATATCAAAATTTTTTTTAATTCAATGTCACAGAGTAACAAAATTTGAAAAAAAAATTTTGGTGCAAATGTCAAATCTGATTCTGGTAGGTTTTTTAACGTTTTTGTTTGGCAATGTTCGAGTACCTCTATTTTGAAACCTTTTATTTGGTCTTAAATAAAAGTGTAAACTTCCGATTACAATCGCTGAGAAGAAAATATCTGTAACTTGAACTCAAAATTATTGGTAACCATTTTTCAAACCGCAAAAAAATGATTTTAACAAAGTCTATGTCGTTTAGCATTGGCTCATTATGAGTTGCAACAAAAATGAGACTTGGTTTTTTCGCAAACACCATATTAAAAAACGAAATATTTTATATTTTTAGATTAATCTATAGTAAAATTTTCTTAGATTAAGAAAATATTTAATCAAATACGCGACAAGTAAATGGGTTTTCTTGATTCAATACTATTTTTTCCAGTGTCAAAATAAAGATGGGACTTTTTAGAATTCATATAAAATATTTCGTTTGAATATGGTGTTTGCGTATAGCGAAGTAAAGGATAACAGTGGTTCTGAGTGTTCTGAACCTTTTTGGATTTGTTTCCTTATGCAGATTTCTTTTACAAACCAGTTTTTGTGGAAGAAGATTAGAGTCATTAAATACGATTTTTTTCTCTCGCTATATATATATATATATATATACTATATAGTAAGCTGACACTAGTTATTAACTTTGCAATTATATTACATGGTTTATTTTTTACTGTTTCGTGAAATGAATTTCAAAAAGGTTTTTCATGTTTCATTAAATCATTGGTTTAATGAACTGGTGTCCGATCCCTTTATCTATAAGGTCAATATCCTCACAAAGGCGTATTTTAAATATAACAAGTATTATCAAAAAAAAAAAAAATCTTTAGAATTTTTTTAAATTACCAAACAATTATCGATAAACGATTAGAAATCAATTTTTATTTATTACAGAAAATTATAAAATTGTTTACTTAAAAAATTTTTTGTGATATAATTTTTTAATTAATAAAAAGAACAAGAAATATATTTCAGGAGCGACTCCACGTCAAGTGATCGCACCGCAACGATTTAGGCTATTTTGATAAATTTTTATAATATTGATAATTTGGGTTCCTTTAAGGGTGAAAAAAAGAAATCCTAAGTATTTTTAAAAAATTCAAAATATTTTTCAAAATATTGCACATAAATTTAAAAAAAAAATTCCCACGATTCGAAAGATTATGGTCAAAAATCCGTAAATTAGGATAAAAATAATTTTCCCATGGTTCGCAAGATTTTAGCAATGGTCCAAAATCAGTAAAATTAAAAAAAATAATTTTTCCATGGTTCGCAAGATTTTATCAATGGTTCAAAATCAAAAAAAATTTTTTTTTTATTTCCCATTGGTTGGCAAGATTTTAGCAATGGTCCAAAAACTGTAAATTTAAAAAATTAATTTTCCCATGATTGGCAAGTTTTTAGCAATGGTCCAAAATCAGTAAAATTAAAAAAAAATTTTGAACGAATCGAATCTATTTTAAATTTTTCCGCCATATTGGGTCCGCCATTTTGAATTCTTTAAATCTGACCTCAAATTTGGATTCAGCGAAACCGAAAAACTTGGTATATCCATTGACACTAAAATTAAATTATGTTTAGTATTTTTTTTTAATGTGGACATATATGTTCAAAATCACAAAGGTGGCACGATTTTTTTTGGACATATATATGGGCCATCGACTGTCAAGGGGTTAAGATTTGATCAAATTTAATTTCTGGCAAATTAATTATCGTTTAAATAAAATTTTTGCAACATTGATAATCAGTCTAATGAAAATTCTGCAAAATTAATATTTTAATAATTTAATATTCTGCAAAAATAATATTCTACAGAATAAGATTCTATATTAAATTATAAACAAAAAAATTTATTTTAGAGATTTTTCATGCGTCCCGTTTATTAAACTTATTAATTTTTTATATTCAGAGTAGTTAAATGATAATTTTTCTTTATTATATTTTTCGACAAATCGATATTGTTTCAAGGATTCAGTTTTTTACACGTGTTTGTTTATTGCTTTAAAATTTTTAACATTTATTAAATTTTATTAAATAATATTATATGTAATGTTACTTTTTATTGGATTCAAAAAATTGTTATAGTAAAATTGAAGTGTTGCATTAATTTATTAAATTGCATTTATGTTTATATTTAAGCATAAATAAGATTTAAAATAACTTTATTTATAAATTAATATTATTACATTTTTATTTGTTTATAGTTATTTGTTTAATGCAAAGTTTAACAAAATGTGTTCTGTTGATATAAGCGAATGTAAAATACCTATATGTTAAAAATTAGTTCAAAACACTGCTTTTTCTAAACGAAAAAATAATTGATTGAAAATTCAATTGGAACCTTAATGATTCTTAAGAATCTCTCGCATGGATTTTCAGAAATATTAATATCCCTGCTGGGATTCAATACATATCATTGTAAAAAATTTCGTAATTTTTGCCGATAAAATAATTAGAAATTTCTTCAAAATTAAGAGAGAAACAAATTTTCCAAATGTTTAGTCGAAATTATTTACGTATATTTGGAGTATGATTTTATTATGGGAATTTACGATTTTGTTTCTACATAGAAACGTATATGTGGATTCCTTTATTATTTTTCTGGCATAATATACAGTTATTTTATTCTTGACTTTCAAAATATACACGTGTACATTTTGATTATTTCAAAAATAATTTTTTGATATCTCTTTTGTAATACATTTTTTTTTTTGAAATGAAGAATATAACAAATTAATTTTAAAGCTTATTCATAAACGTCTCGTTTTCGAGAATTTGAAATTTTCGAGCAAATGATCTATAATTTTTTTTTTTTTAAATTGAATATGATTTTGAGTTATTTTTTTAAATTTTATAAATAAAAAAATGTATAAATTTTTATTTATAATATGAAAAATTTGAATATTTATTTTTGAAAATTCCCTCGCTTGTTTACGCCCATGAAAATTTTCTATTTACATTTCTTGTCTGGCAACTGAAGTTTCCTGTGTAAATATATATATATATATATATATATATATATATATATATATATATACGTTAAGTCACGTTAAGTGAGAGAAGATGATAAAGATTCAAGTTGTAGGATGTTTAAAGACCAGGTGCAACGACCTGAGGTAGCCTCTTCGACTCCTGCTTGGCATTGCCCTTGTGTGCCAGGTCCAATTTTCCAATTCTCCCATCGTGATAAACGTCGATTAACGATAAGTGCAGTAAGAGAACAAGAAACCAGGAAGCTTCATCTATTTTTTCTTAGAAAAGCATTTAAATTTAAACAAGTTAGAAATTTACATAAATGCTCTATAAGGATCTTAGGGAGGATCTTTTTATACAAATATAAATAGAGTCTTTGATGCTACCTCTATAATTTTAACGAATAAAATTCGATATATTTATTTATTATATACCATATAAGATTAGTGGCAAGAAATGACATTTTTTTTCTAAATTATTTTTCACGCTTCAGGTAGTTTATATAAAAAAATAATGGCAATTTTCAAAAAATTATATAATTACCATATTTGTCTTGAAAAACGAAATTTAAAGGAATTCCATATTTTTTCCCTATACTTTTAAAAATAGTTAATTTTTTTTTATTATTTTAAAATAAATTTGAAAAAGAAAAATATATAAATTATTATGCGTTTATTTAGTTTTTTTAAATAGATAAAATTTTCAATGTAAAAAAATTGAACTTTATAAATAATTGAATTTATTATTAATATATATTAAATTTATTGAAATATAAGAAATTTATCAATAAAAATTAAAACTACTTTAGAAATATTGGACAGAAAAAAACAAGGATTGATATCGAAAAAAATTTTTTATTTATTTTTTTTTGTTTCACAGGAGAAGGATACAAATATTGAGAGACACCTTTTAATATACAAAAATGGAAAAGTTAATAATAATTGAAGAGATTGAAAAAAAATGTTTAAACATTCAAACTCAATACTGCATAATACACATTCACACATTCTTCTCGAGTGTAATTTATATATTTTTATTCGTACTACCTAATTTTTAAAGTTTCATTTCACATTTTCTTTTTCATTCGATGCTCTACATTTTATACATTATTTCCATATATAAATAATATTTTGACTATCACAAAGCTTTTTCAATTACTACATTCACTCTTGTCTTTAAATTCTATTAAAAAAAAAAAAAATAGCGAAAAAGACTCTTAATTTAAGAATATAATTTGTTTTAAATGTAAAACAAATTATGAGAATTTAATAGTTCGAAAATTAGAGAATATTATTCTTCTTTTCAAAATATTTTATTCTTACTTTAAGAATATTATATTGTTATTTTAGGAATAGTATATTTTTAGAGTAAAAATATAATTCTTATTTTTAGAATATTTTTATATTCCTACAGTTTCAATATAATATTCAAAAAAATATATTTTATTCTTACAATAAGAATAGTATTCTTATTTTAAGAATATTATATATTGTAAGAATAAAATAGTTATATGTATAGTTTTAAATAGAAGCCAAAATTATATTCTTAAATTGAGAATAACCTTTTTTTAATTAAAAAAAGTAGTGAAAATAATACTTGAAATTCAAAAAACAAACTATTCTAAAATAAAAATCATTTTGCAGATTAAATTAAGTAATTGAGCAACTAGTAATTAATTAACTAGTAATAAAAAAAACCATTGATAATTAATAACTAGTAATTATGTATTTACTAATCATTAAATTATCAATAATTGAATAATAATTGAAAATAATAAAAATTAATTAATAATCATTTATATTCAATCGAATAGTAATAAACAATTATTAATTCAGAAAATTATTATTTATAATTAATTTGATTAATTATTGTTATTTTTCAATAACAAGAAAATCACAAATATATATAAATATATACTATACAAAATTATTATGCGAATATATTATTCGTATATATGTAGATATAATATTAATATCATAATGTGAGTACATAATAATTATTGAAGAAGAAAAAAAAATGGAAAAATTATTAAATTAATTAAATGATTCATCAAATTGACAAATTCCATAACGATTGCGGATTCTACCAGGTCCACAATTTTCAATCATATCGCCAATTGGTTTTAAAGATAATTGTGACTTTTGATTAGCAATAAGACGAACTTCATTTTTATCACCCTCATCAATATTATCGAGATTATCAAATCTTGGCAATTCTTTTTTCAATGACATTCGACTTTTTTCTGAATAATTTGAATCTTTTAATGAATTTTCTAATCCTCTTGCAATACGACGAATTTTACGTATTATTGTCTCGATATTTTGTTGATTTTGAATTTTTTTCTCATTTTGATGAACACTTTCATGATTTTCTAATTTCTCATCTAATAATAATGATGATGATGATGATGATGATTTTGTTGAAATACTTTTATCACCTTTTGGTTTATGTTCAATTTTTGCATGTCCAATTTCTTCGTGAGCGGATTTTTCAAGATTTTTTTTACTATCCTTTTCTGATGGAATTTCATCTAAACTGTCGGAAGAATGTTTTTTCTCAGAAATATAAACCACTTTGCCGTCTACAGAACTTATTGTACCAAATGAAATAAACTTCTCGGGTGTCTTCTCTTTTAGCGATGAATCTTTATCTGTTTCTGTATTTTTAGTAATTTCAGTATTTTCACTATTTTCAGAATTTTCAGTATTTTCAATATTTTTAATTATTTTGATATCGTCATTGATTTTTACTTTCTCGATTGAATGAATTTTCTTCTCATCGTTTGTGTGTGAATCAATTTTTTCATTTTTATGCGAATGAATTTTACCCGAAATTCCTAATTTACCGAGAATTTGTTGATTATCCGATGATGTAATTTTCTTTTCCACATTCTGATGATGGTGAATTTCTTCTTTATGCAATTGATGATGATGATGATGATTTTGATCGAGGTGACCTTTGATATCGTGAATTTTTGATATTTCAATTGCTTTACTATGATTTTCAGATGGTAATAATGATGATAATTTTTGGCCTTGACTTTCTTGATTATCGGCGTTGGTTTCAATTCTCAAAATTTTCACATTTAGTGGATCCTTTCCCTCTTCTAAAATTTCCTCATCAGCGACTGAGACTTGCTTATTACGAGAAGTGAGACCTCTTAATTCGAGAATTTGCGAGGCAATATCATTAAATAAACTACTTGGTCCCTTATCACCGGGAGTTGCAATTACAATCATAATATTGTCCAATTGTGCGTGAACATTTAATTTTCCATCCTGTCGTTGATCGTACACTGATTTGCCATGAGAAAATATTACAAGAAATGAGAGCAAAATTGCAAATTGTTTTAATAATAATAATAACAACATTTTGAAAAAAGAAAATTCGTGGCAACACGCTTCTGCTTTATATATCTTTAAACTCTATCAAGTTCGCACGACGACTGATGGTTCATTCGTTGCTTCTTCACAACCATCGAGGGAGATGTGTCTCAAGGGAGAGGGTAAGGAAGCACCAATGCATATATAATATAATCGACGAGAGAAAAAAGATCCAGAGAGAATCAATTTTAAATGATATATGCTATATATAATTAATAACATTTAAAATAGATTTTTTCCCACGTGAAAAAAAAAATTATTTTTTTTAATAGAAATAATTAGACAAACAATATCAGAATAAAAGTTGAGCCAACTTCATATTTTGGAAACGTGATAATAAGAACAACATGTGATTGGAACCAACATTTTCTGGAGAAATCAAAATTCAAAAATGGTTTAAACCCTTCGCAGTCGAGTAGAAAAATCGTTTGTGGGCCCAAAATGGTCCAAAAAAAAAATAGTTTTCAAAAAAAGTTTTATATCATCATATTAAAGGTTCACGGAGAGAAGGGCGTAGGGTAACGGCACCAGTGAAGGAACTGACACCAGTGAAAGAACAAATTTCATGTTTTGCATTCTAATTAGTGTAATAAGCAATTTGGTATTATAAATTATATATTTTTATGTTCCTTATTTAATTTACGTCTTTAGTATCTAAGATACCTAGAGAGTTAACACGTAAATTTTATAAAAAATAATTTTTAAAAATGTTGTGTTGCAAATTTATCTTCAACAACCCGTGTAGAAATTGAAGTAAGATTCTTGTATGGATCTTATAAGATTTCCCTATTACCTATCAGAATCTGGTAGGGAAGAATATAAGGAAATGGTCGGGCCCTGACATTTTCTGTGACGCTCGGTTCTCGTCAGAAATTTTAATATGATTTCAGAAACATTTCCCGTCCTTGACCCTACGAGGACCTTACAAGAATCCAGATTTTTCAAAATCCGTTTTTGCGATTAATAATTTCAGGTTATATTATTAAAATTTTTTGTATTTAATTGTTAAAAGCAAATTTATATACAAATCCGTCAAACAAATTTGTAACGACATCAATTTCGTCAGTTTCTTGTAAACTTGTAAAGCTACAATTATCATTTGCAGTAGATGAACCCGAAGAATTAATAGTGATTCCATTTTTGCATTAAATATTTTTTTACAATTGACACCACTTGAAATCACTTCATTTTTTTGCGGCTAAATTTAAAACTGCACTTCGATTTCTTTTATAATATTATTGTGCTTTATTTTATAGTTAGTTTTATTTTGTTTATTATATTGTTAATGTACTGCAAATTTTTTATTGTTAATTTAAAAAAAAAATTTTTAAAGATATTTTGCGTACAGATTAAATAAATGTAGATACAGTTTAAAATGATAAATTAGAATTATTATTAAAATTTTGTACGAGTTACCTCCATCGTTTGTAAAAAGTATATTCGATTGAAACATCCTTTGTATTTAAAAAAAATTGTTACTATTTAGTTGTATAAATAAATGATTAATTTTTAAAATACATAATTACCGCATTCATGGATTTAAATTAGCATTTATTAGTTAATATTGCTTAACAATTTTATTAAAAATATAATATTTTTTCTAATTTATCATTATTTTAATATGTTTCAATTATATTTATTACGATTTTTTTTAATCATTCAGTTGTATTATTTACATTAAATAATAAATTTAATGTAACCTAAAAATATTATTAAATAGAAACAATAAAAAATGACATTTCCTGAAGGGTGCCTCGTAGGGTTCTTGTGGGGCATCTCAAAAAAACAATTTCTAATCAGAATCGAGCGTCACAGAAAATCCCGGGGCCCAACTATTTCCTTTAATTCTTCCCTACAAGAAACCTACTAACTTAAATTTTAGCTATGGAAACTTAGGGAAATTTCTACACGGGAATAAGAACTCTTCTCTGACACGTTATTTCCCGAGGCGAAATTTGAATCCTCTTTAGCTTCCCTTAGAACCTAAATAGGCCCTCTTTTGGATCTTGTAGACTCCCCAAGACCCTTCTTTGAATCCAAACATGGAAGAAAGGTAAATTTGCGACTGGTTGAGGAAGCTAAAGAGGGTCTAGTTCGATTAAAAAAGTACAAAAAAATACAAAAAAAATACTCTTTTAATTATTTTGATTAAAGCAAAATGAATTTTTTTTTCACACAATTTTTCTTTAATTACCCTTTAAAAACTGGAATTAACATATGTGACGTTCCATGAGGAAAGGGACCTTAGCTGCAATAGACGCATTTTCCAGAAAAGGTATTTAAAGTAGAGCGTCCCTGATTGGTTGAGACCCTCCATCGAAAATCAGCCCCACCACCTTACTACTACATCGTTCCTACAGCTCACGCTTACGACAAGTATACTAGTGTAGAAGTGGTGGGGATGGTTTCTGTAGTCCGTGCTGGAACGCGATTAACATGGTCATGATTAATGCTTTATAACAAAAAAACTAAATAGAAAAGTACAATTTTTAACTTTTGTATCTGAAAGAGCAACTCAAGATCTATCGACTGATATCAAAAACTCAATTTTCATTTTTTTGCAGCTAAGGTCCCTTTCCTCATGGAACGTCACATATTTTGAAGCGTTTTCAAAAAATTAATAGAATTAGAGCAATTTCAAAATTTTCAATATTTTAATCAATTTTTATACCCTACTTTGAATCCAAACGTAGAAGAAAGGGAAATTTGCGACTAGTTGAGGAAGCTAAGGAGGGTCTGTTTAACCCTACTTTACTCCTTGTAAAGTAGGCCTTAAATTTCGCCTCGGGTTCTTTTTTCACATTTAACTAATTTAAACTGCCTTAAATCGTCGGTCTTCTTTAAACTAAATTTATCTTGTGTATTAGAAATACTTCTTTTCATTTAAAAGCTAATAAAATATTAATTTGCCATAAGAAAAGCAAATTCCGTCATTGGGGTTTTTTTTTTATTTACTAGTGAAAGAACAGAAATGTTTTTTCACTGGTTCCAATGCAATCCAATGAAGGAACACCTTCAACGAATAGTCTGAAGTCATAAACAAAAAAATGTCAAAATCAAATAGGTTAACACTGTTAGGTTACAATAATATTGTCAAAATAAATTGCAACTAGATTGGCAGTACTTCATTAAGGGGACTTTCTGGTTTAGAATTTCAAAAAAATCGATTTTTTTTTTTTTGCTTAAAAATGTTCCATAGTATCATAGAATTACTGTCCCAAAACGTTTTTTAAAAAATATGTACAAAAACAAAAGTTATAACAATATTTATGACGGTATCTATTTCAACAACAATCTACAGTTATCTTATTTACATATTTGGTGTTCCTCTTTTATTGATATTAGCTTGAAACATGTTACTCGAGGGTTTTTGGGGTCGCTGATTACGAATTTGATGTCAGTTTTTGAAAATACAAAATGGCGGATCCAATATGGCGGACGAAAAAATAAAAATTCAACCGGATTTGCTTAAAACTTGTTACTCGGGGGTTTTTGGGGTCGCTGATTACGAATTTGATGTCAGTTTTTAAAAATACAAAATGGCGGATCTAATATGGCGGACAAAGATTAAGAAATTAATTAAATTTAGTTGAAAATGGTTACTTGTGGCCTTTTGAGTCTGCTAATTGTGAATATTTTTTCGTCCGCCATATTGGATCCGCCATTTTGGATTTTCCAAAACGGACATCAAATTCGTAAGCAGCGACCCCAAAAACAGCGGGATACGAAGTTCTGTTATAATAAAAAGTTGTTTGATATTCATGACTCAATGAATTATGTTATGAAAACTTTGAACACATTTTTCTCAAAAACTCATTTTTTAAACTGGTACAGAGCTTTTCTCAAAATCTACCGAACCGATTTTGAAATCCCAAAAATTTTTCGATTCTTTATTTAAAAAACTGGTGCCTAAACCTCTAAAAACTCATATTTCTACCCCCTGTGTTTTTATATGGCGGTAAATTAACCCAAAAACACGGCGTTTTTGCGAGTTTTTGAGAAAAATGTACATAAAAAATAAAAAAACCTTTAAAAAAAATCGTTTTTGAGGTTTAGGCACAAGAATAAATCCTTATGAAGAAATTCCCGTTTGGAACTTGAATTTATGTATTACAGGTTGCCCGGAATCTAACGTACCAAAAAAAGGTATCTTTTGGAAGACACCACCTACAGCTATGAAATTGAACTAAATACACTCAAACATATTTTTTAAATTTTCTCTACGCAATGTGCTACAATGTCCAAAAATAGTTTTTACAATTTCTTTAATACTGTTCTTACAATAAAAGTTTTAAAACCTTCCTTTTTTGTCAATTCTAAACCAGAAAGTCCCCTTAAAGGTAAAGTACTTTTAAAAAGTCCTAATAATATTCTTAAAAATTAATATTTAAATAAAAATTATTAATATATTTTTTAAATATATTTTAAATATATATTTCACATCGTTCTTTCACTGGATGCAGAAAATTCTTTCATTAGACAATTTGTTCTTTCACTGGTGAAATAGGTATGTTTTACTTATTAATTAAAATTTTAATTAACATCTTATATTTATGAAAATTAAATATGACCTTCGCATTCTACACTTAATTAGCTATCGAAAAAAAATTGGTAAAAAAATTTTCAATAACTGCATTCAAAAATAATAAATGATAAAAGTATGCATTTCCTTAAATGTTCTTTCACTGGTGCCGTTAACCTAGTAGATCTTACTACTATCTCAGTTAAATCTACTAAACAGTATCGTTCATTTTGGACGGACTAAACATTCAGTTAAATAAACGATACTGTTTAGTAAAAAAATTTACACGATTATCGATAGAAAAAAATTTACCGACAGAAACGAAATGTAGAAATCTGATTGGTTGTCTGCAATCTGGTTAATTGTGGACAACCAATCAGATTTGTGCATTTTTATTCTGTCGGTAAATTTTTTTGTGTGACAGAACTATAGTAGTCCCTCTGACTACGCTGTTTAGTAGAATCTGGACTAAAC